CTTCCAGTATTCCTGGCATCGTTCTGCTTTTGTCTGGGTCGCAGGGTCTCTGACTGGCTAGTACGATCTACCTATGGTATGCAGTCAGAGGCAGTGACACGTACGCGCGTTGTCTACGTCACCCGCGAAGTTTGAGTGAATGTAGTTGTCCAAAACGCGTCGCTCCAGGGTACGCGTCATCTCGTATACCCGGATCACCACAGAAACGTTGAAAATAATCCCAACTAAATCAATCCATGGAAGGATATTGTAAAGCACCACAAACAAAGAGTCTGCTTCAGTGATTCAATGGCCGTGGGGCAAAACTCACGGAGAGATAGTGCTGCCCCTGAAGGTCATTTTCCGATCAATCTCGTAACTGATAATGATTAAATGTCAACAAATACTGCGTATTCCCTTATTACTCGAGCATGCAACATTTCTGTCTCATACCTAGCATAAAAACTTGCATGTGCTTGCGTAAGTCATCAAGATCACATTCGCTAGAGAACTTGTCAGTAGAATACGAGTGAAAAACAGCCAATTTAGATTCGGCGAACAAACGTGTACAAGCATACAATGATTACTAAATTTAGAAGTAAAAATTTAGATTCGGAATAAATCACCCCAAATCAACTTATGAACTGCTTGGTCCTCTGAATATGTCCACTAAAATGTATACAATATAAGAGGAAAAGAGCTGGTAAAAATGTTGAAAATTAAACCATATTTAACAATTTTATACTTGCTTTGGTTTCCGGGGACTGGGGGAGAAGGAGGACCCAGTGATAAAGGCCAACTTACCGGCTTCGATACCGATTTTCTTGGCATTTTGTCTCTTTGCTGAAAATTAACAAACAAGAATTTTGCGTGAAACAAACTGCAGACAGTAACGCTTAATTTCACAAAAATCGGTTTTTGCGAAACAAAACTTTTGACGAACAAATATGCAATACTTTAGATTTTCCGGGAAAGTACAATCAGCAATCAGATTACCAATTCACTGTAGGGCATAACGGATAACAAACTGTTGCCAAACGAACAAAACTTACTTTGGGAATAATGAAGTAATCGTCTTTAATTTTTTCATACTCAATCTCATCCTCATCCTCCTGATCTTCCGGTTGTTCGGTTAGTTTGTCCTGCAAAAGAAACGAAAACAGATCACGGTAGAGAGCTCGACTGATGTGAATATTTCACAATGGAAGACAATAACAAGTGATTTTCTAAACCTACTTGAAATTGATCAAGATCCCGTCGGAGAACCAAAGTCACAAGATGAATAGCAGTGGGTGATATTCCCACAAGTCTACACATATCCGAAGATAAGTATCCAATGGTAGACCAAAGAATTTCGGCTGTTTGTTTAACTAGTCAGTCAATCATTCTGAACATTGGATACCGTGGTCATCTGTGATTTGGAATCCATAGACACGAAAAATAGCTCAAAATGAAGAAAGTAGCCCCACCAAATACGATTCAAAGATGGTCATGTTTTAAAACTCTGTTGGAGAAAAAAAGTCAATTAAAGTGTGTAATTAAACGAATGCGCAATTGCAATGCGTAGTTATTTACCTGGGAACGCCACATAGTGGCATAAAGACCACCCGCTTCGAGAAGCTCTTCATGGGTTCCCGACTCAAGAACTCGACCACGTTCAATGACCAAAATACAATCAGCATCGCGAACTGTGGACAGTCGATGAGCTATCATGATCACCGTACGTCCCGAGCACGCCTGATCCAATGCAGCTTGCACTTGACGTTCCGAGCGTATGTCTAATGCAGAAGTGGCCTCGTCTAGTAACATAATTTTCGGGTTTCGTACCAGCGCGCGAGCAATTGCAATTCGCTGTTTCTGTCCTCCGGACATACTTCCACCACCCTCCACAATCCATGTATCGTATCCCTGGGCAATGTGGGTGAACAAAGCAATACTTATTAGTATGAGCGCTGGATAAAACTGTAAATAAAGTTTATGATGTTTTGGATATTCAGTTGTTCATGAAAGGTTCCATCGATCTGACCAAATGTCAGGTTGAGGTTGGTGTACGATTCGGTTATTGACTATAATTTGAAGTAATTTGACAATAAGCCTTTAATTTACAGATGACGGTAGTGCTCACCGTTGATACTCATACTAGATGAGATTTTTCGCATAACATGGTCGGTTCAGGCCCTGCACTCGAAACAATACAAATGTTTATGGAGCTTTTAGCGATTTCTAGCACCTCTCATTAAAGCATACACTCTACCAGAAGATAGTTAACCTTAAAGGAAATTAATCAGATTGGCTTTCAGAGGGAGTAAACGAGTTAACGCACAACGTTTTCTCGTGCAAATTTACCTGAATTCAGATTAGAACAAAATTTTACAAAACTGATAAATAGTTTTCCGCTTTAATTTTGCCCAACACAGATAATCTTTCGTGACAACTGACTACTCACATTAGGCAGTCCGACAATGAATTCGTGAGCGTTTGCCAGCTTCGCGGCTTCTTCAATCTGTTGGCGACTGGCTTTCAGAAAACCCATGGCAATATTCTCCGCAATTGTGCCGGAAAACAGTACCGGTTCTTGTTGGACCACACCGAGTTGTGATCGAAACCACTTCAGGTCTAGATCTCGGATTTCTCTGCCGTCAATTAAGATCTGAAAACAGAAAACAGTGAGTTCAGAAAATCAATCAACAATCCACGAACTGCCGCAACTGATGAACGATGCATATCGGCCCCAATGTCCCAGATTAACCGACAATCTAACATTAGTATTGTATCTTCAGTCTAACACTGTCCCCATGCTTATGATTTCCAATACAGGATTTGAAGTAACATAATCCTAAATGTGAAACCGCCAACCGGAATCGGTAAAACGAACCGGACCCTAGAATAGTTCGTCGGAAAGTGGTTCATTAGGTCGAATGATAATTTGTTCTGTTTTTATGAGTTCCTGTATTTACGAATTATTTGATTCTTAGTGTAAGCAGTTGGTCACCGGTTGTATTCATTCTAACAAGGCAGCTTAGGAGAGATTAAGAGCTATGCTGAAGATAATATCTGAATTTGAGATTGTCGGTTGTATTTGACCGTTGGGGTCTTTATAGAGCATAGGTCGATCAGGATATCTTCAAGGTTGCAAGTCATTATCCACAATGAGTCCTAGTGTGTCCCAGTTGAGATTGTGAGTGTGACCATTTTGATTTGATCAAATCGATCAATCGATCGATTGGATACGAGCACGTTTCCCGTCGGAATGAAGTGATAATAACGAAATTATATTGTGTTCGTTACAGCACAAAGCATGTGGCTTTATGTATGAAGTTCATATTATATATGTCTATATATATCAGAAGACGGAAAACACAATTAATTAGATGATGCTGATGTACCAGAGAAAACAACGAGTTACTTGTGGTATCACAACAGCCAGAATTGGATAGTTTACTTGCCTGACCGTCAGCTGGATCATAGAATCTTTGTAGCATGTGAACTACAGTACTTTTTCCCGAACCGCTTGGGCCGACAAATGCGATAGTTTGTCCCGGTTTCACTTTTAGACTGAAATTTTCTAATATCTGCAAAAGAGCATACCCAACGGAGACATTTATGTACCACAAAAACTACCAGTTGTTTCATTTTTAAGCTGGATAGGAGTAAAATACTGTCAACTTACTTAGACCTATGCAAATGGTATGAGTGTTGAAAACCTAAAACCATTGCAGCTACAGGCAGGGGCTAGCTTAAAAGGCAAGGTATTCATTGTATAAAGCTATGTGGCGTTGTTGCATAGGCCCAAAACCCACCAAGCTCTCTGAACGCTGAACTCACACAATTAATTAACTAAAGATTTTACAATTTAACAGAATTGTCTATTCTTCAAGAACATCCGATAGACTGTATATTTGCGTACCCGATTGCGAAAATTTGATTACGCATCTCAACGTCAAAGTTTCCGTTCAGAGTTTATAAGCAGTTCATGATATCACTTTTTTATCGCCTGAATCTGTTGCTTCCAATTGATGATGTGATGTGCATCCAGTTGATGAAGTAAATCAAACACTTCAAATTTTTTTATGATAAACCTTTCTGCAGTGTATAGAACAAATTTCGTCATACGTAAATCAGAAATGAGTGTCACAATTAACGCGATCCCCATAAACTTTGACGTGCTTTTTATTTCCCCGCTAAACGTTTTGTTCTTAATTAGTGATTTACACTGGGATGTTGTGGCATGATTGCGGACCGAATTGTCGTTTGTTTATTCACCGAGATTACGCGTGACATGTGAGGTTTATGGAGCACGTCAGGGGAGCCTGAGGACCTGCACAAATGGTTTTCGGGCATGCAGATGAGGGATATGCCGGAAGAAATCCCAAGGCGACTCAGCCTTGGTAACCGAACAGGTACCTAATTCAAATGGTGAAAATTTCTGCTCACGTTCACGGTGTGATTTTTCCAGCTAAGTGGGAAACTATTGAACTGGTGAGTGACTTAATCAAACTTGCAGGGCATTGACCAGGAATCCCTTCAGGAACTTGCCTGACCGAGCGGCCTTTGTACGCTGTTCCAGCGGAAAAAGTAAATAAGTGCATACAAGATGAGACAACAGAGCCGGCAACTGTGTCCCACAATGGCACACGATAGACTCTCAGTTGAACAACACATGAAGCTTTGATGCATATAAGGTTTATACAACTGCGTCGGATTATACCCGTTTTATAATCACAACTGATGTGTCCCCCTTGACCGGAAAGGTGAAAAAACGTTGACCTTTTCTTAAAATCTGTGTGATTGTAACGTGTTCTCCGTGCATTAGACCATTTACATAGCTAAATGTGCTGAGACCCCGTAGCGCATCAACCGCATAAGTCGGAAATCGTCGAATAGCACGTTCTCACTAAAGATCTTTCTTGCCCTATCCGCAAGGTAACGAACCAGGTTTCTTCGTACCTAGGGTGGCACAAATGCAGATGTATTGATCGTACCTAGTTGACCTTTTAAGCACCAAGCGCTGCACCAAGCCATCTGGTCGACGAGTGCTGCATGTATCCCGAAACAGCTATTTGTTCTTATGTTCCACAACTCTGTTCGTTTGTTTTCAGTAAGTATTTTGGGATCATTCAGATAAAAATTATTTATTGATTAGTCATTTATGTTTTTATTCTTGCTTGCAATAAAATGATTTCTCGGCTGCTACTTGTTAGATATTTTTGAGCTGCTGTTTATGAACATTCATATCGTAATTTTATTATTTATTATTATTTTATTATTTAAATACATTAATCCCCAGTTATATTGTAATAATAATGATATCTGTGTGCGATCTTTTGAAGAATTGCAACGGGATATATCTCACATCCTCATGCTGTGCGCGACCATCTTGCGGAATGCGGGAGTTGGCTGTGGATGATTTGTGCCATTCGAACCCATAAAACTGGAGCACAGGTTGATCAGAAATCAGGTAACAATGGAATTCCGGTAGGGCAATTCACTTCATCCTATTTATATCAATTGGTTTTTCATGAACTACAGAAGGTTGTCGATCCATTAGTAGCTCTCTTGCCGTATTTGCTGCATCTCTCCATTAGGCTTGAATCATTCTTTGACAAAGAATAGCATTAAAGATTGAAGCTGAATATAATTTTTAAAATTGCTTATTTTTTCTGCTGAAAACCAAATATAGCACTCACCGAAGCTGTTGCTCACCTTGACATCGGGACGTGAATCGTAAACAAAGGAGACATTACGAAATTCAATGTCCCCGGTCACTTTCGGCAGCTGAACTCCTTTGGCTTCCTTGTCAATCGGTGGAATCTGGTGTAAAAACAAATTTTCGTGGAGTGAGCGTACCTGAATGTCCTAATAATAAAATAAATGACCTGATGTTGGAAACTCTCCCAGAGATCCCGGTGTAACCGAAATGGTCACTGGAGTTGTGTGGTGATGAACAGCTGCAATCGATACGGTTTGATTTAATGTGCTGCTGTTTGATGTTTTCAAACTCTATCACGTCCACTTTATTTTAACTTATCACTTATCACAATGACAGCAGGCGATCTCCAGATAAGGCTCTTTAGGTTGTATTTCTTTTGTTTTACCGGCCACATGAATTTTGCTTTTAAAGCTCAAAATCGATGATTTTTAGTGATGCGTGGCATCCAGTGAAGATAAGATTAAAAACAATTATCTTTGTATTGTATTGTATTGTATTGTATTGTATTAACTTCTGCACGCATGAAGCTTACATTTCAGTTAAGAATATATAGGTTGGAGCCAGGGAGAAAAATATTATTGATAATAATAAAAAATAGATTTAAATCCCAAAACTGTTAACAAAGTTTGTCAAAACCTGTTATTTGTTAACTGGAATACGTGGTAATGAGGGTACTGTAGAGTTACGATAGAGAACGCAACGATATTGGGATCTAGTTGAAGGAGGGAACAACAGGAAGCTAGATCTGAGTGTACTGGATGTGTGAAGTCGTTGAGAATCTTATGTGCAAACTTTACACATGCATTCAAATGACGTTCACAGAGGTCAGTTACCAACTCCTTCAGCGGGATTGTAGAGACATGGCTAATGATGGTTAGTCTACGTCGAAGCAGTTTAAAATCTTTCTTTAGGAGACTGAAAAAAATAACGGGTGAAAAATAAAGTAAAACGGGGAAAACAGACTGGTACACAAATTTAGAAATAATTGATTGTTGAAACGAAACTGAGGAAATATACGGATATGAAAAGAAAGTCGTCGAAGCTTACTGAGGATATATTGAATGTGAGAGGTCCAGTGAAGATCAGTATCAACAAAAACACCCAGGTATTTAATACAGTTTACCTGGTATACTGGTTCAGAGACAATCAATACCGGTTCAGCTGGGAAAGAAAAGCGTGATAATGTAAAGAGGCATTCGAAACATTTGGAGGGATTAAGAGATAGGCCCGATGTGGCGGAAAACCGCTGAACGTTATCCAAGTTGTTAGAAAATTGTGAAAGACCAGAAGAGTTGGAGATGGCCTGACACAAGACCACATCATCAGCATATTTGAAGAGAGACGTAGGGGCGCTAGTAGACAAGTTACTAATATACGTAGAAAATAAGTATGGGGAAAGAACTGCACATTGGAACACTCCAGAGCTGTTCAACAACGGTTTGGATTTCTTCCGACCTAACCTGATACACTGAGTTCTCCCGGAGAAGTAATCGGCAAGCTAAGCTAATACCTGTCAAGGCCAACCAGAGGTCTCCAGTTTACGAAGAAGAAGGGAACGAGGAATAGAATCAAAAGCAGATGAGTAGCCCAGAAACACACAACGGACAGATTTCGCAGAGTCATTCAAGAAGTTAGTGATTTTATGTAAAAGAGAGGAAGCTGCATCTAGCGTGCATCTTTGACTTATTGTGCTTATTCGATACAGTTGTTCTTGATAAAATAAGTTCTGAACAGTTTTTTGCGAATTCATTTTTCGATTGGCGAAATAACTGAGCTCTTTTGTTGATATCTAACGAATCAGTTGTGCTTGTGCTGACAATATAAATCTTAAAGCAATGTTGATTGCACGAATCCGTGTATTACTCTGTTGTAGTGGTGGCTGTGATGATTAGGTGCTCTGGTTCGAAAGGCTGTCAATCACATGCATTTAGCTCTATGTTTCGAGATTATAAACCTCTCGTTGTCATTTTCTTAGGGTGAGGTAGCTTCCTATCATTCGGTGCAGGATCATATATATCCTAGTGGGGCCTTGTACTCTTCACTGCTTCAATTCACGGTGATTAGGTTTGAGGGCCTACCATGAGCAAAACACAGGTTTTCGTGAACACTTCTTTTACTAGTCATCTGATTATGGTGTGCAAACCCCCCTTGAGGAAGCGGCTCTCAGTGAATGGGGTATCTGTATACTGTATTGGGTATAATCAGTAACGAAGAGGTCAACAAGCGAGGGTTTAACGTTCGTCAGAAAAACATATTCTTTCAACGTGAATGACTGTTAAACATTGTTAGGTGCTGGTTGTTAATTTCGAGAAGATCTGCCTTGATCACAACACTATTCTTAAGTGATTCAACATTGCGTCGTCAGTCAGATTATTCTCATTCATGAATACAGAAATAAGGCAAATGTCGTGATATATTACCATTTAATTTAATCTTCTCAATCGGTGACCTAAACAAGCACAATGGAGTTGATCAAATGTGCTGAATGCCCGTGTACCAGCATAGAAAGAGAACTAAGTCAACGATTCAGAAGAATAAACGAAATGTTAATATCTCGCAATATTTGTCTTCTTTCTGTATTCCCAGAGTCTTTTATTGCGATCACAAAAAATAAGTGGCCTCTACGGTTCGTGTAAGGAAGCACAACGTACAACAGTCCCACTTACTCGTTCGATAGTGTCAAATATGGGTGCAGCTGAGGCTCGAGCGATGGCGAAGGATTCCAGATTGGGCATGGCTGATCCCAAGGCAACCGTACCCAAAATAAGATTGAAAAAAACCTAACAAATAATGCAGCAAAAGAGAGAGCACAGTTTGAAATTCCCAAATAATCAAAATCAAAGAATATTTGTGCCACAATAACTAGGAAAATAAATCCAGGTTTCATGTTATCGTGTGAGCCATCGTTCTGCTCTATTACTAGATTGCTTTCCAAACATGTACTGCCACAATCTCAAACAGAACAGCGATTGGTGTATATATCTGTTTTTTTCTGATAATACCCAGAGAATGTCCGTTCAAATATAGTTCTAAACCACCGACGCGTATGAAAGCATCATCTTTGGGACTAAAAATCCTATTTATTCTATGTTACTTGTCTCAGAATTACTGTACATGATGTCCGGCTATTTGACAGGCACCGTGAATGAACAGCAGGAACTTATTGTACAACCTATAAAGTTCAGTCCTTGTCTCAACCATGATGACCTAGTTGTTTATCAATACCTACATGGATCTCTGCTGCTAAAGAAATGCTTTTTAACTCTTGAAGGCATCTGTGACTACTTCACTATTATTTCCCCTGATTTCCTCGTTCTCTTATGCTTTACTCTAACATATTTCTAAGTACACTATCAAGCAAATTATTACAAACACGTGACACAGAAACTTTTGACAATATCTTGCACAATAAATAATGACTCACGATAAACACAGCTCCCACTTGGTAATTATCCTCGACCGTCAGCTTTGTTCCGTACCAAAAGATCAGAGCACATGAAGCAAAAACGACAAAGCCCAAAAATCCAGTGGCTAATAAATAAATGAAAGAAATAAAACACATTTACGTGCGGAGAAAATGTGACCAATTTGAACGCTCGGGTCGAACTTACCACATCCAATCGTTAGGGACTTTTTAATTCCAACCTTTTCGGCTTCACCCAACTTGCTCACATATCTCCTATGCTCATGCTCTTCACCACCAAATGCCACCACTGTCCGGATAGCCCCAAGTACCTCCCCGGCTATGGCTCCGGCCTGAGCATACGCTGCCGCTTCCATTTTGGAAAACTTTTGCAACACAAATGCGAATAGACCGAATGCGATCAAGTTTAACGGCAATGTAGCCAAGGCAACAAGAGACAATTTCCATCCTTTGAT